GTATTGATGAGTGGTGTATTGATGAGTGGTGTATGATGAGTGGTGTACGATGAGTGATGTATGATGAGTGGTGTATTGATGAGTGGTGTACGATGAGTGGTGTATGATATGTGGTGTATGATGAGTGGTGTATTGATGAGTGGTGTATGATCAGTGGTGTATGATGAGTGTTGTATGATGTGTGGTGTATGATGTGTGGTGTATTGATGAGTGGTGTATTGATGAGTGGTGTATTGATGAGTGGTGTATGATGAGTGGTGTATTGATGGGTGGTGTATGATGAGTGGTGTATTGATGAGTGGTGTATTGATGAGTGGATGAACAGTTCTTGAATGTCCGTAACACGGAAGTTTCGTACACTAAACTTGCTTTGATAAGCAAAAAAACACATTTCGTCGGAGGGCAACGAATTCTCTCCACAGCAGGGTCTCTCCATTTTGTTTGGAGGACGGGTAGGCAAATTTGTGCGTCTGGGCTGCAATAGTCCTGTTGTGAACCGCATCAAGGCGCTTGACCATCCCCCAGAATCGCTCAGACTAGAAAGTGTACTTTGGTTTTGCTTAGAGGTCCCTGTGCCTGCGTGAGCACTACTGCCTGGTGGTCTGCATGAATGTGAAGGAGTTCAAACAGGCGAGCAAGGTTGATGCATCAAAACTGAGCTTCCCACTTGCACTTGTGGAGAGTTTGACACGGCGGAGCACCGCTATGTTCGATGTCCGAAATACAAGTCCGATCCAGTCATAACATGTCATAACAACTTTTCCGATGTGCTGCGCTGCGCTGAGCAAGTGGGAGCACCTTCCTAAATCATACAGTAGGGGCTGCACAGTTCATAAGTGAGGAAGACTTCCAGGTTCGGTTTGGAGGGCTGCAGCTTTGGACAGATTTTGGGGCGCAAAAATTACATTCAGTTGTTCTGTGCCTGATGTGGCCTCTCCACACATTTTCACGGATGGTTCCCGCAGTGATCAGGATGTCAAAACAAGTAATCCTTTTCAACGGTGGAGACCCTTTTTTTGTAGTCCGTCTCTTGGACCAAACCGGTCACACTGCATTTGCAGGTTGCAGAAGCGGACCTTGCTGCAAAGGTCAGAAAAGGAGGTATCTGATGCTGCTGAGGACTCCGTTCCTTGGTGGACAGGCATTGCGAGCCTCTATGTGAGCCCTTCGTTAGCTGCAAAGAGTCAAAGGGTCTTCCAGGCTTCCATAGTGCACTAGTTCTGAATTCTGCTTTTCTTCATTTGGGGGTGCTACTTGTGAAACTGAGGTTTCGCACCTTGAGATATATTCTGCAATTCGTGAGGCCATCTGCATGCCAGTGATGGTGAGAGTACAAACTTGTGCAATTGCGTGGTTCTCATTCGTCAGTCTTCGATTTGGAGTCTCCGTGGAGCGTCCAAAGGACAGTTGTGAGGACCAGGCCAGTTGTTCGCGATCTTGGATCGTTTACTTTCATTGCTTTCAACACCTTTGGTTTGTCACTGTACATCCTGTGGGACTTGACCGAAAGGAGTCCGAGTATAAAAACAAGTATGATACAAATATGATCACTCATGATGTTGCCAAAGCGATCCTGAGTAACCACAGCTCAAACCAGCCTCAAGCAGCCCGCAATTCTCAGAACAACTCAAAACCGTCAAAGCGTGTAACTAGCCGACTAGCCCAGAACAAACACTTCAAGTGGTGCCTACAGTAAAGCCTTGAGTAGCCAGTGTTGAATAGGTACCAAGGTACCAACAAGAGCAACCAAGATAGCCAAAGTAGCCCAGCGCAGCAAACAACGACCCAGTCACGAACCCTCAGATGTTCTAAGCCCATGGAACCGCTTTTTCATGCTGTCAGGCTCCGTAGAGTGGTTGGCAACACGCTTCATTTGGGGCTTGCCGTGGCCGCCTAACATGTCTTTTACAGTGACAGTACAAATGGTAATGCGTTGAGTTTTACAATTGAGGTGCCAACTCAATGATGAGAGGCGCTGCCTAAGGAGTCACCTCTCGCTACACAGATCTTGGCATGGACCTTTTGGCAATCTGTTGGCTCTGAATCTCATGTCTATTGTGTACTGTAGCTTGCAACTGAAGACTCTACCTTCCTGGCCCTATGAGCTTCTGTAGAAATAACTATCCCGTGTGCGAACAGCAAAATTACTGAAGCTGGAAGACACAATAAACATCAGTTAAGACAGGTCAGCTGCACCTCAGTGGAACCGCATGGTTGGGAATTGCCAACAGCATACACTGCCAGTCTATACGGATCTGCGTGGCACATGGTCCAGACCAATTGAGCTTCAATGCTGTGGTGACCAGGTCGTGGAACTAAACAAATTGCACGCGCAATTTTGAGGCAAACCAACAACTCATTCCATTGTGGGAACTACACAATTACATTCTATGCAGCATCACATCATGCAACATGACGACCATGATGTCCCGTTGGCCTGATGAGCCAAAGCAGGACAGCCGTTTTGGTCCACTCCAAACGCCAAAACCGCTCCGTGACGCCACTTATATATCTGTTTTGTCGATGAGCCTGTCTGGGCTGGCTTGTTGCTGCGACAGTCTTTGGTCGTGCATTCTAGACTCTGCCCACCCAATGAAGGGCAAGCAATGCCCCGAAAAGTTTAGCTGTCTCACTTCATGAATATTTGCTTCACATCCAGTGAATACAGCTCCTCTTAATTCTTACTTGTCACGCTGTTCGACTTTACCATTGCTGATTGCTCACTGATGAGAAACGGTCAAGCTTTGCAGCTTTACACTGCGACATCCGCCACCTTGGTGTGTCTCAGATCACCTGCAGGTCCTGCAAAGGGATAAGCTTGGCCGTTGGTGCGGGTATGAGACTACTGGAGAGGCAAACCGGCTCGCCACCCTGACCCCCATTTCACAGCAACCAACATGGACTGCAAATCGAAGAGCCTCAAAGCAAACGGTGGTAGGTAGATAGAAATACATAGATGACACGATGGGCCGGTCAGCCAAATGAAGCGGCGCCGTCCGAAGTCAAGTGAGAAATCATTGAACCGGTTGGGGAGTACTGGGGGAATGAGTGTGGTGAACCATGGTGAAACGTTGAGCCTTGCTACAGCAGGAATGGCAGCGGTATTGATGGTCATAACCGGCCGTGGTGTTTTGTGCATTTTTTGGACAGTGTTATCGATTTCACAATTTCAGGGGCGCAATTGGTAGGCTCATAAAGGTGGGTATCTAATGTCTTCTGTTCATGTCATGTAACTTGAAGACATCATTGTCTACGATGCATGAGGAAAGTGCAGCTGATGCACGTAAGAAGAATGAAAGGAGCTTGTGTGGCAATAGATCTCAAACAAACAATGGATTACATCACCCTAAAAACTTCCAAAACCTCGATAGTTGGGGGGCAACTTGAACTGACTGTTGAAGGGTCAGTTCTACTGGGAAGTGCACAGGAGAATTGTTCCGCAATGTAACTACGCTATTCAATCCTTGAAAACGCGGAACGAATCTTCCCCAGGCTAATTATGTGCGTTCAAATCATTTTGCTGATCAGAATTGTCATTTCGCACTACGGCCCGTTATGGGCGGTGGACCTAGTCACTTCGGTATGTGAGTTGTCTGTCTATATACATTTTTGAATGACATCTTGATTGCTTTGATCATAGCTGGGCCGAAGCCTGTTGCGGTTACATCCTATTGTTTCCACCATGTTGGTGTGAGAAGAATGGGCCTGGGATTATCATGCGCAATGCAAAAATTATGACTGCCACCAGCTATGATTTGATTCTGTTGTGATTTTGTCTGATTGGGTTCTTCCACTTTTATGCTATGTTGACTCTATTGTATGTTTTTTAGGATCATAGACTTGGACTATGGCTTGATGCGCAAGAACATGTATAACTCAATAACAAAAATCGGTTTTGTAATGTTGACTGTAATCCGCCGGCCTGCCGGCGTGTTTTGTGGATTGTTTTGGTTAGTATTGCTTGCGTTGGTTTCAATCTACGGTTTGTATCTCCGCGCGGACTTTTCGACAGCCTGACGCCCCCCCCCCCCTCTCTACGTCTAAGGTGTAAGGTGATTGAACTGAGACATGTCGATCGCTGGATCAGAATAGACAACCCTTGGACTGAGACATGTCGATCGCTGGATCAGAATAGACAACCTCTGATTCGGATTCGTTCCATTTCATTGTAAAACGACTTCGCTTGAAATCAACATCAACAAACTCTCCCAGCAAAATGTGCAGCTCCAATGCACCCACAAGTCTGATTGAGCAGGGTATTGTTGTTCGATGTCATTCTGGGTCTTTCATTTCCAACGGTTTGGAGGAAAAAACGACAAATCATGCCAGATCTAGAAATTCTTCGGTCGCTTTGAAGCCTTCTGTGTGTGAAAAGAATATCTGGTGCCTGTTGCAATCCCTCGAGACGGTCGGAAAAAAGATCTGAAAAGGAAAACATGCAAACGGCCAAGTAGTTTGGAAGAAGAATCGTTTTCAAGGTGATGTTTTGTGGATAGTCTTGGTTCGCATTGCTTGTGTTGGTTTCAATTGGTTCCTCTTAGGTGATTCGACTGAGACATGCCGGTTCGGATCGCTGGATCAGAATAGACAACCTCTGATTGGGATTCGTTCCATTTCATGGTCAAACAACCTTGAAATAAACATCAACAAGCTCACCCAGCCAAATGTGCAACTCCAATGCACCAACAAGTATGATTGAGCAGGGTATTGTTGTTCAACGTCGTTCTGGGTCTTTCACTTCGAACGGTTTGGAGAAAAAATCGACAAATCATGCCAGATCAAGAAATTCTTCGGTCGCTTTGAAGCATTCTGTATGTGAAAAAGAATATCTTGTGCGACTCGCAATTCCTCAAGACGGTCGAAAAAAAGATCTGACAAGGAAGACATGCAAAAGGCCAAGTAGTTTGGAAGAAGACTCATTTTCAAGTACCGGTTTTGTGGATCGTCTTGCTTCGTCTGGCTTGTGTTGGTTTCCATTGGTTTCAATCTATGGTTGGAACTGTGGAACACTGTTAATAAGCATCATTAGGCTGCCTGCAATACGGGCTCGAGCTGGTGGCCGGCGGCATGCCGAAGGCTGTAAATATCATGTAAGGTAAGATGACAGTGGAGCGGCTTGACTACAATATTTACAGTGGCTCAGACTTGTAGCTCAAGATTTCATCAAGGAGTTGAGAGGTTTGAGTGACAAAGATTGAGAAACTGAGAGAAGGCAACAATGCTTTCTGAGAATTGTATATTGAATTCCACATCAGCCCAAACTGTCCCAACATGTCCTGCAGTTTGACAGAGTTCCACCCTGTTCAGATTGAGCCATCTTGGAAAGCAAACGGAACAACAACCAACATCAACCAACACAACCAGGCTGGTCCTTCAACCATCCGAATTCTACTGTGTTCAAGTACGTATAGTATAAATAAATATATATATATAATATATTCAACTCTTCTGTGAATGTCCCAAACGCCGTTAGAACCCCCAAATCTCAATCAATCTCCTTCAGCTCCCTGTTGAACATTTTCTGACTCCCTTTCACCACCTCCAATTTCAAAGCAAAACATCGAATTCCCAAATCCGTTCAACATGGCCAAAAACCTTTGTGAAGCCCTTTAAGATAGCCAAGGCTTACTATTCGGGTTCGAAGTTTCCAAATCCGTTCAAAGAAATCCCGTCCTGCACAACCTTTCAAAGCGGGCCAGCCACACGCAGCACACTGTATTCCTTGAATGCCAAGGTAACATGTTAATTTCAAGTTCATATGAATCAGGGAGTTATGGTGTTGCAAGCAATGCATCAATCATCCAATACCACTACATGTTTACATGCCCTATCCTTACGCTATCGACAACTGTCCTACGGTCGCCAAGATCCTGAACTTTCTGTTTTGCTGAAAATACAAGTTGTTGTTTGGGATTGTCCAGTTTTTGAGGCTTTATTAAAACCTCACCAATCAAAACTGCCCTTGATCTCAAACTCCCTGCATGTGGCCACAGCAAGCACGTGCAGATTTGAAAGAACCTGCGCAACCCAATAATCCACCGGTTCAGAGTTGACGCAGTTGACGCAGCATTGCATGTCTTATTATACCTAGTCTTGTGGCTGAGTGGTGGAGCATTGTCCTTTATAATACCCGAAACTGGCAGCCACGCCTGTTAACACGTGTCCAACTGAAGGGACAGCAACTTGGGCACCGCTTGAGTCCATCAAAAACTGTTTACCCTGCAAAGTGTGTACAGTAGTGGCTTTGTTTCGCTTGAAACCAACGCGATCAGAATAAATTCCATTACGCATTCTACATAGTTGAGAATTTGCTACTGAGTACTTGTGTCACGCTCCCTTTCAAAAAGCCTGTTTGACCATGCAATTTGTACAGTACTTTACAGTGCTGGTAATTTCATCAACCTCAGGTGCATATTTTGCACACGGACATACGGAAACGTACGGAAAGAAAACAACTTGACTCCAAAGGGATGGTGCAAAAACAACATCAAACAACATGGTGACATACAGTACTTCAAAGGAGAGGCTCCCATTGCACACCAAACCAACCCACAAAACCTAGCAACGTGAACAATGAACGACTGTTGCCTGTTGCTACTTCTTGTAGTCACTTGGACAATGGTGCACCATGCCACATTGTCGTGCCATGGCAGTGCACCACGCAACCAACACATTGCGCAAACAAACCATTTACGGCTTTTTCGAGATACAATCCACATGACATATTTACGTATATATACTATATGTATACTGTGTATATATATATATGCATAGGGCATAGGGGAATTGAAACTAGATCGTTCCGAGTAAATCTGCAGTGGTTGAAACTGCATGTAGCCGCCCTTACAAAAATATTGAGTTTGTACAGTAACACTAGCTGTGCAAGCACTCACATTCATGTCATTGAAATCAAACTGCTGAGTCCTGTTTGTTTGCGCCCCTGCACAATGAACTGACATGTTGGGTGGAAGCACTCATAGGCTGAGGGTGTCTAAACCACCTGTCACTTGCTACCTTGTTGGTTTTCCTCTGGACATCTAGCATGCAGTACGGTTACAGTACGTCACTAAGATTCACTAAGTCTATTTTTCCCCACCAACCACAAGTTGGCCAACGTTGAAACTTGATGTGCAAAGCGCAAAAGGTTTAGTTCAAATTCAAGCAGCCAGTCAACGATCAGGTGAACCTGCTGCGCTTCCAGGCGGCCTCCATCAAACATCTGTTCATTTGGACGGTTTGCTGCCACAGTCTTGCAGAAACACACTACCGCCTTGTCCCAACGAGAGGCTTCTCAATGCCCTGTCAACTTTTGAAATCATTGGAGCAAACTCTGGTTCGTGGTTTCCAACCTCTCGTTTTTGTCCACATCTCCGGCAATACAGTGAGTCTCCGCTGTACAAATTTCCGCCTCAGGGCCAATTCTGACTGAGCCGCTTGCAAACGGACTCAGACCAAGCCACGTGCCATTCTTATCCATTATTACAATGCCCAAGAATTTTTGCCGTGGCGCATTTTGGGCACACGTCCGCGACGCGACGTAATCTTTGGGTGGGAGCCTGTCCACGCAACATGTGCCAGGTGAGGTTGTTTCTGCAGCTAAGTTGGGCCAAAGCGTTTAAACTTGGTACATTTCTTGATTTGTGTACTCCTGGTTGCTTAGCAACCATGCTCGGCAAAATGGCAATCTTCTTCAGCCATCGTAAACCTCAAAACTCCCACCGCTCTCCTCACTGTCTGAGTCGAAGATGTGCGGTTCTTCAAGGTCCGTCAGGACACTCTAAGATGCCCAGCCCCGCATAGTGCAAAACGCCTGTTGGCGAGATTCCCATTACACTGGCTGTCCTCCATACAGTGCAATCACTCCTTGTTGGCCTCGTCCAGATGGTGGGCCAAAAGCAGCGTCCGCCATGACCTCCAACGGCAAGCCCCGCCCATCACCTCCATGATGACCTTTCCCTCAGGTCGTCTGAGTGCGGGCTTGCCATGTCACTGTCCTTTCTCCTTCTCGGACGGAGAACCTCTGGCCAACAAAAGCGCATCTCCCTGAGACCTTCAAGAATCTTGTTCACGAGCTCCTCGTCACCTTCAGGAACAGTATGCATCCTCACTGGCAACCTCCGGAACCTGGAAGGTCTTTGTCATCTTCAGTAGCTCCATTGGGCGTGTCTTTAGGTTGCTCCTTCTTCGACGGAGACGATGGCGCTCTTCCGGGAGCTCACTTTCGCCCGGTTGTTGTTCTCCTTCCGCCGGAGGCGAACGCGAAACTCCCAATCTTGAAGCGATGCTGCGCATCCGTGGTGTACATATGGGTGTGGCCAGAAGCCCTGGTATGGATCGTTCCGCGCTGATCCAAGCCCTATGGATCAGACGAGTGGCTCACTTGATCCAAGCCTGATTCTCAAGTGAACCCTGACACAGTGGGCTCAAAGAGCCGTGCGTGAGTGTTATTAGGTGAGACTTTCAATTTACTGGCTTCCGGTAAACCTTTTTGTTGGGCTCATGCACTTCCAGTTTCTTGGGTCCACCAAGAGTGGACTGGCAGCTGGATTGAGTTCACCACTCATTTTTTCGGCTATCAACAGTTTTCCAATTAGTGGACTCTCTTATATACGTTGAAAGTCGCCGCCCTGACACAGTGGAGAGTGCGAACGGGTGAAGCCTTTGGGAAGGGCACTTCGAGAGCAGTCTTCACACCCAGCCCCAAGCGAGGCCTTGGGCCTTCATCAGAGAAACGAAGGCTCCAAAAGCAAAACCTCGAACATATTTAGCGGAAGCCGCAGCCGCTAAGTTGAAAAGTGAATTGGTGGGTGTCCCTGTGCATCGCTGTCCTTCAGGAATCCAAAGGTAAGCGCCAGGAAGAATCGAACTACCGCGGGACGCAAAGAGAATAGCCTTATCCACTAGACCAAGGGAGCTTTGGATGGAGGGTGGCCTCTGAAATCGACCCCAAGCCAAGAGAGAAAGAACAAAAAGCCAATTAGCAGAACCCAGTAATTTCAGGATCCAGGATCGACTGGTGGGCTGGCTTCACAAAATGGCTTGTGCTTGTCTCCCTGGTTCTAGGACGGGTTGTTGTGGGCGCCCCGAGTGTCTAGAGGCTCACCTGTTGTTGTCTTCTGCTTGCTATCCTTCTTCTTCTTGCTGTCCTTCTTCTTCTTCTTCTTCCTCTTCTTCTTCTTGCTTAATTCTTTCATCTTGTTCTTGGTCTGTCCTGTTTTCTGTTTCTTTTTCTTGTCTTCCTTCTCCTTCTCCTTCTTCTGCTTCTTTGCTTTGTCCTCCTTCTTCCTGTCTTCTTTCTGTTTTGTCTTTTTCTTGCTTGCTCTTCTTCTTCTTCTGCCCTCGTTTTTTTTGCTCCATGGACCACCTCCAGGAAAACCAAACCTGTGATCCAAGGGCTTGGATCACACACCCACCTTTTGATCCACACCCCATGGAGGTATGTCCAAGCCTTACGTTTCTGGCCGTAGCCATATGTACGAGCCTCACTTTGTCTGAACAATTACTTCCTGAGTGCTTGCCGGGACTATAGCCAAGTCCAGCGACCAACGTAGCTGGCCTCAACAGGCAATTTCAAGAACACTCGGTTGCGCATTCTGGCACGAATTGCTATGAATCCTGGATCGGCGTTTACGGGCAGTTTGGATGCAGTGGGACGGGCCCTGTATATAACCCAAAATGGCGACAGAAAGAACTCATGGAAAGAATTCCGCTTAAACACTCTGTCAAAAAGGGCACTTTTCACAGCATGTTTCAAATGTGGCTGGTGAATTTAATGAGATATGAGACCAATCCTCAGGCGAACAGAAATGTCATTGACTCATTGATGTCATTGCGTGGAACACCCGTCACTAAACAAAGCCAATCATGCTGAGGAACAAAACAGCCTACGGTGTGGATTCCTGTGATGAAACACATTACCACACAGTTCGTCATCAACATCTGATGATTTAGTGCTATCCCTCTCAACAACTGACAGTAGTTGATTTGAATTGGTTGACATTCAATTGCCCACTCCTGCAAAGGCTTCGCTGACTGCGTCGGAACAGACTGGACTGGCTGTTCTGACTGGACAGGTTGGATTTGCTGCAACCTTTGTGGGACGTGGAAGAAGCGACTGTCATGATTGCATGATTTAAAATGGACATTGACATACAAAAACAATAAAGAAACATATCAGATCATCGTAGAGCAAAACGTGTGAGTCTAAACATGTCTCTACAACTTCTCACAGGTTTGAGGTCTTTGCGGGAGGTCAGACACCACTAGTGGCTGCTTCAACGCCTTCTTGATCCTGGCACCACCACCAGTCAGGTATAACAAAGTTTGCAAAATAGCGGCAGCAAACCTGACAGAAACCACGAGCCCAATTTGTACTTGTACCGTAGCCTAGACTTCGGAAAAGGAATCTCCTTGTTAACACCACCGAAACCCTGCAAAGCAAGGATGCTTTTGGCACGACACATTTAGAATTTTGTGTGACACTCTTTTGGGATAAGAGACTGTCTCAGAAAACGCCACCGCACCAGCAAGGAAGTATCACTTCAGGTCTCCACAGGAAGCGTTTCGTGTTAGACTGTTAGACTTCCTCAGTGGCAATTCTCCAGCGTTTTGCATGAGGATTTCTCCTAAAGTGAGGCGAGGGGGGAGTCTCCGTCAGACTTGCTTCAGCAGTGCACTGCAACAGGAACTCTCACACACCTGCAGCCAAAGCGTTTTGCAACCCAGGAAGTACTGACCGAATTGAACTCTCGTTGAAACTGAAGCCAACAAGGCGCCCGTGCCATTGGGCCCCATGGAGGTGTTGCCCAATCAATCAAGACTGTGCCATTTTTATTTGAAGGGGTGACCGCGGAGCCAGAATCCAAACCGCTCAGCTTCTACATGCTCGAACATGATCGCGACAACTATACTGAGGTGAACCATACTGCCCTGACAGCCTACGCCTACGACTCAGGCACACCAAATTCAAAGGGAGCCTTTGACCACGCGAGGCACTCAAAGGATGTCAAAGGCACAGGCTAATTAATTCAGAATCAGAAAGTCAGAAGGACGAGGATTGGAACTTTGGAATGGTAGGGTATTGTCGAACTGGATGAATTGCATGTGAATTTAAACTAGGCTTAAATCCATACAGTGCGCGCCGGAAGTGTGGATCAATGTAGGGCTGCGGCTGTGGGCGAGGCATAGACCTGATACCCAGAACAGGTGGAGGACATTGGGCGGTAGTTTGAGAGCGACGGAATAGCCATGTGGCGGGTTTGATTTGACTTCTCTAAATTACGTATAGCAATGTGGCGCCAAGGAAACAATCAAGCCAGATCTACTGGCAAGGCGTGACAGATTATGGGAGCAAATTCCAGGAGCTCTGGCAGCTTCAGGTAAGGTAGGCCGGAGAAGGAGGATCCACTACATTGGATAGCCGGGATATCCTGCTTATGTCATGACTTTGTGGCCAAATGCTCTGCGCAAACCTCGAGGCAGTGTTTTTTCGTTTTTTGGGCGGAGGTGACCGCAAGCAAACATCGATAGATTGACTGGCTGCGGGGCGGAAAGTAAACCGAGCAAGACCGTAAACCTACAACCTCCTTTTTAGTTTTTAATATGCTTGCTGCTTGATTATGCTTACGTAGATGCCTTACAAGGTCTTTTGACAGCTGGGCGGCGGAACGAGTTGCGACAGGCAACAAGCAAGACATCCGTTAGAATTCTAGTCGTCTCGTCTATTGAGCGCGCCGTCTTGTCAGGTGAAACCTTGGTGACTTGGCTAGCGTCCTTCCTCCTAGTAGTAAGGCCAGGAGCCCCTAGTACCGTCCTTGCTCCTAGTAGCGATGCCCTTTGTTCCTAGTAGCTTCTTGTTCCTATATAGCTGAGGTAATCTGAGCTTGACTCCGCTCTTCTACACTTTGAAGCCATCTAGACATGTGGCGGGGAAAGTGTAGGGGCCCCATCGAATGGCCGGCGTGGGTTGCGAGCACGATTTGAAAGATGTAAGTAGCTGGGCTCAACATCTGGCAAGGGGCGTCCCTAGTATAAAGTCAAGCGCTCAGGCTGAATAGCTTCAAAGTAGATAGTCTGTGCAAAACGCTTGCTTGGCCCAGGCCTTCGGAAATTGAACAAACAGTTTCTTGTGAAATCTCGATAGCACCGACAAAGGAAGTTGGAGGTTGGAATATATTTTGTGAATTATCTCACGATCTGCAGCAACTTTGCTATGAAAACAATTCTCGGCCTCTTATGGTCTCTCGTTCCATAAACTCCAGTCCAGACTCCAGAACCGACCTACCTCAACTTGACATCTCAGTAATGCGATCCCACTTTCAGAACACTCTCAGCCTGTACACCCTGTACACTCCTACAGCTGCATTTAACATAAGATCATGTTTCTCACCAGACATGGTGTCCCACCTAGAGGATACAATTGCTTTTCATATGTTTTTTCCGTTTGTTGGGCATCTTTTCAGGTTGCATCCTGGCTTTGCGGCCGAGTATTTCAATAGGGGGGAAATTATTCTGAGTTCAGCTTGGTCACATCTCGCAAAGCCTCCACTTTGCCACAATTCCTCATCCAAAGGAGCGACAATGCTCTCCTAACTTCAGGCAAGGTGCCGACCGCAACCCAATCCTTTTATATAGCGCCCCTCTTAAGCCGCATGTTTTCCAGCTCGTAATCCTGCCTGAGACTTTTTACGAACACAAACCTGCGAATAAGCCCTGAAACAGCACATCCCAATGGCATAGCGACATCCGACACCTCTAAAACACTCCCACGAAAACCCAAGTCCAACTGCACGGCAACAGGCACTGCACACGTCATGAAACGCTGCACATGCACAGCAACACAATACACGCCACACACTTCGAACTTGGGTTTTCAGTTAGACTCAATTGCCACGTTGAGAAGTAAGGTGAGGGAACGGAAAGGTGCAAGGGTCAGCCAAAAAAGTATTGTTGAACAATGTTTCCGAAAAGCGCTCAAGTGAAAGCGGCGTTCAGCAGCTGCAAGGCGGAAGGAAAATGGTTTGGGGGAGGTATCATGAACTACCATGGAAGCAAACAAGAGAAATTGGAACAGCGTGGGCAAAAGTTCAAATCTGTTGCAGGTACGTGAACCTGGCGTCCCAGGTTCATATCCTCTCCAAACATCAGTAGCTTCGTTGGCCACAGACTGATGAATGGAGCTGTGGCCCCCTGCCTGTGATAAGGTCATATGAGTGGAAAAATTGAATTGGAAACGGTGACGCTGGTAGTGGAGGGGTGAACAATTGAAAGCCCTTAGAACCAACGTGTGACACACACAACAAGCCGTAGTCGGCGCAGATCGAACGGTGGAAACGCGGTCTTTTTCTCAAAAACCGCCTGCACGCGTGCAGGTCATGCCCTTTTTGGGCGTAGAGGTGGACCAAAGCTTCAGCCGCAGCGGTGGCATGGTGGGATGGAAAGGTGTAGGTGTAGATGGAGTGAAGTCGTGAAGCTAAGCCGGACAGAGCCAAGCGCTGGCTACCGGCGCTGGTGTGGTCCCTGATTTTCCAGGGTTGGGTGGGTTGTATGTAGGTGATGGTACGTTGCTGGAGGTCGATGTTGAACCCCAATAGGTGGAAGTCGTCCACCGTCTCCAATTCGACGGGATCGCCGAAAAAGTTGTTGTGGATGAGGGTTTGGATGGCGGGATGTGAGAGGAAATGTTCATTGCGGACGATGAAACGGTTGTCAACGTAGCGGTAGTAGGCAAAGTGAAGAGCTGTGTGCTGGAGGAGATTGTTGTGTAGCTGTTGCCAGGAGTGTTCGGTGAGGGTAATGGCGACGTTGCAAAGGGCGGGGGAGAGCTGGGAGCCAATCCCAGCCCCCCGGATTTGCTTGCAAGTGTGATTGCATGCCCGGAAAATGCAGGCGTCGAGTGCATATGCTACAATGGTCGTGATGTCTGCAGTGTGAATGGTGCGTTGTGTGGGGTGGCGTCGGCGGCGCCGGCCGATGTGGGAGTGGTGAAAAGGGTTGCCAGTGGCTTTGGTGTCAACGGTCAGGGTGTGGGTGTCATTCTGGCGTTGCCATTGCTGAACGAGGGAGTGAACAGCGTCAATCAGGCGGTGCTGTGGAACTGAGTTGAAGAAGCCCACAAGATCATTGTTGGTGGCATATAGGGGGATGTCGGGTGGTGTGTCGTTGAGGTAGCAGTGGAAGTGGGACCACAGTTGTGGGATTGATAGTTGACCTGGAAGCTGTGGAAAGAGGTGTTGCAGGATAATGTCAAGGGCTCGGCTGGTAATGCGGAGGAGGTTACCGCTGAGGGATTGGAAGTATGAGATAATGGTGCGACCTTTCCTCCAGTGCTTCTTCTCTTTGAGGTGGACGACGCCGTATGGGATCATGAAGTCTTTTCTGAAGCCCCATTTATAGCGTGTGCGGAGGTTGGGAGGAGGAGCAGAGAGGGAGCGAGAGCAGGTGGTGGAACAAGAGTAGTGGAGGGAGGGTCTTGGTATGCGAGGGGGCGAAGCGGTGGCTGGCCTGGGCGTGCTTTCTTGAGGATAGGGACGTTGGTCATAAGAAGGACTGGGTCTTCACTGCTGGTGGTGGTGGAAGGGGATGGAGGTGGCGGTTTGTGGGAAGCTCAAGTGGAGGAGCGCGCCGTGCGCGGTTGGGGTGTGTTGCAGTGTTTGGGAGGAGACGGTGCCGGAAATGGAGGTGTTTTTGGAGGTGGAGAAAAGGCTGGAGTGGTGGCGCCAGTGACTTGTTGGACCCCGAATGGGGTTGGATGCGTGGGTTCTGTGGGCTTATCTTTGATTGACTCTGATTTGACTTCCGGCAAATCCGGTTGTTCAACTTTGATGGCAGGCAGAGTGTAAGGATCACCCTGAAGGTCCTCAAGCGCTGAGGGGCTGAGATCCCAATCTGGAGAGTCAAGATCAATGGGCATGGCGCGGATGCGGGGCCAGATCGGGGGCCGTGGGTGCGCAAAGACGGCTGCGGGAAAGTCGTATAGACCTGAAGAGAAACAAATGAGATGCTGAAAATGGTGATGGCAGGGCTGTAATTTTTACCGGAGCTTGAAAAAGTCAATGCGAGGGTGAAACATCGGGCTACCTTGAAGAGCCGGTGTAGTCGGGGCCTGAATGTAGCTGCCATGTGTTTGCGGATGGACTCGAAGAGGGTGTTGATGTAGCGGTCCAGAGAGATTGATGTAGGGAGCTGCGATGGCTGTGGGAATTGGTGATGTCGGAGAAAGGTCGGTGGTCAGGCGTAAAGGTATTGGCTGGGGATGCTGATGTGGTGGTGGTGGTAGTTGTGGTTGTAGAG